TATAATTGAGTATTAGAGTGGTGTAGAGTTTCAAGGTGAACTTAGAGTTTTCTTCTTCTTCTCTCTCGGATTCTTGATATCTCAAGGTAAGGGAAACTAGATTGATCTTTGTTGATTTCTTTTGGTATGTGTTATTTTTCACTTGAATTGATTCCTTGAATTGCACTTTTTGGTGGTTGTTATGATTGTTGGAATTGAGAATGGTAGATGATGAGCTTTTCGTGTTGTGAAGCATGTTTGGGGTGAAGTTTGATGTTTGGATCAAATTGCATGTTGCATGTTGATTCTAATGCTAGAAATGGGTTGTTGATGATGCATATATATGAATTGTTGCATTGAATGTTCAATTTTTTAGTTATCAGGAGAAAGGAGAGCCAATTTGTGAGTTTACTAAGTGCATAATTCATTATCGTGTCAGGGCACTCCTTCGTGGCACCAAATTAGGGGTCTCTATCTTGCTCACATCTAGCACGAGATTGATGGCATTGGACGAGAGAATAAACTTTGACTTGATCACGTCGGACGTGATTTGAATGGTGTTGGACATAAGGTGAGAGAATTGTCTCTGCCTGAATTGGCATCGGACATCAAAAGAGTGACGTCGGACATGAGGTGAGAGAATTACATCTGTCTGAATTGGCATCAGGCATCAAAAGAGTGATGTCAGACATGAGGTGAGAAACTCATCTCTACCTAATTTAGGGTCAGGAATGGATTTTGACATGCAAGGTGTGAGGGCCAGGGGTTCCTTACCTTAAGCGTAGGTTGAATGGCGTCAAACATGGACGAGACAAAGAACTCCCTACCTTAATGGCATCAAGTGTGGTATACTTTGTAAAATTTGGTTATTTAATAATGATATGGTAAACATGGATAGGTTAGGTGAATCTATGCATGTTATGTGTTGATAGGTAATATGTGTTCTATGTATACTGATTTGGGTAATATATGTAGATGTTTATATTATTGATTCATTGTTGAGGCATTGATGTTGAGAATGTTATAAGCATTTAGGTATGTTAATCAACTTAGGACTAGAGCAATGAGTGTTTTTGGAAGTTGAATATCTCATTGTGAGGATATTGGTGTAATGCTCTACAAGCCCAATTGTTGAAAACCCTTATGGAATTGTAAAACCTTGAAGTGGACAGTTAAATCTTCTTTAGGACCTTAATTGATGTAATATGTGGGTTAAGTCAAGACATATCGACTATAAGTGACCAATATTTATCTGTATGTGAGCAAGATTGAGACATACATGTATAAAGTGATCAATTGAGTAAGGTACAAAATTGAGGACTTAGTCTATAACTAAGTACTAGAAGGGCATAGTATTTGAAGGAGTTAACCGACTAAATCTACAAGGGGTTTAGTGTTGCAAGTTAATGTCGTGTTAGGCTTATAATCAAGTTATTCTATCCCGACAAAAATACTAAACTTTCCAATTTAAGTGGTGATATCCAGGAAAACATGTTGATAGGGATTGGTATTCCAATTTGGTTGTTAACCTAACAGATGTAAAAAGGTCATGTTAGTTCGGTAAGGTCAAGTTATTTAGAGTACTCACCATGTTGTAGGAGATCTCTGTAGGTGAATGTGTGATGATATATTAGTTGAGGTATGGTGCATATGATGTGGTGATTTAGGTGTTATTCATGTTGTATGATTTGATTATTGTGATGAAAATTGATATGTTGTGACATTAAAAGGTGTTTGTCTTTGTAAGATGTTGAATGACATGTTGAGGTGTTTGTTATCATGATATATTGTATACCATGAGTTCTATTGTATGTTCACATTTGGAGTTGATAGTATAGTTGTTTTGCTTCTATATTTGTTTTACATTTATTCTTTTAAAATTTAGTTTATCCTTGCATGTTTTCTTTTGGTTGAATTGCGATAATCATGTTTACATGAGAGTATGATAGGATTAGTTGGAGGCATGTTGTGATTTTGTGAGGTTGTACTGGTGGATGGCTTATTGCAATTTTGTTGGGTTATTGCAATGTAACTTGTCTTAATCAACAACCGAAGGTTACACTTTACAATTTTTAGATTACTATATAATCATATGTATATATTATCTCTTACATTTCTAGGAACCGTTTATGTATTAACCTTAGGTAAGTATGTTTTATTTTTCACTGTTAGTCATTAATTTCATTAAGTATAGGGATTATGACGATATGATTCAATCTAGATAGTAATGATTATAATTATATTTCATAAAGTTAAAAGAGTTAACCCCCTAAATTTTCTTTAAAAAAAATATAAAAAAAAACTTTACCTAAGCATACACAAATAATTCGCTTCGTGAACCTCTATTTTTATCTATTAAAAATATAACTGTTGTCACTCTAACTCTTGAAAACTTGTTATCAATTTATTACAATAATTACATAGAGTATCGTTAAATTGGTCTATTTGTGTCAAATTAAAGTAATAAAAAATATATAAAGGAGTTTAAATTTAAGGACTAACTTGGCCACATTTTGTGTGATAAACTAATTTAGTAATGTTATATTTTATTGAGTGGCTAAATTGATGTCAAAAAATAAAAATTGAACGACCAAAGTTACAATCCTTGCATTATTAAGAGTAAATTAATTGCAAAATCTTTGTGAATACGTATTTGAAGGACATAAATAAGAGATTGGTCTTTTTTCTTACGTTGGTGGAAAGGTTATCTTTTTCTTTGTCACCAATCCATTTTCTCATTGAATTGATCACAGAACTGTTTGAATAATATTTTCTGTTGGCTTCATAATGCTTGTTGCTTCATGTTAGCACTTAGCACTGCTCAGTAACAGTATTCTACAAACTAGATGATAGACCCTTTTATAATTATTTATTTATTTTGCTGAACTAAGACCCTTTTATAATATTAATTATTTAAAGCATATAAACTATAATATTAATTAAATTGATATTATATACATTATACATAAAATAATAAAGTAGGTAATTATTGAAAGATTGTGAACATATTATTAATCGTATAAAAAAAGATAATAAAAAAACTTTTAATTTTTTAATTTTTTTAAACAATTGAAAAGTATAATGGTCCAATTAAAAATAAAGATAGAAAAAGGTTATAAAAAAGGATATCATCTTTATAATAAGTATAGAATTTTAAGCAAAATATTAGAATTTATTAAAAAGATTAATCTACTTGTTTTTGTAATATTTACTAGACATCAGTTTCATCCGTCAAAGGTTTGCAAAATTATATGCTTTCAAAGATTTATATATATATATATCAATTTGTTTCTTATAATATTTGAGATATTTACTTAATATCACAAAGAAAATCAAAGAAAATCAAATTCGTGTGAAATCAATTCTAAGAAAACAAAATTAATAGTTTAGTAAACAAAAGTTAATTTTTGTTAGTAAAAAATTTTGTGTTAAATTTTGGATTGTGAACTCTTTTATACGCATTATATTCTTTATACTATGGTATAGAAAAATAAGAAGAAAACATAGTGAATTTATAAAATAACGAAAATACTTGCTTTTAATTTTTTTTTTCAGAAAAGGATTAGTTAATAATAAAGGCTTTAAATTATTCGAATACATAAAATAAAAATAATAATAGTAGATTATTTGAAAATATAGTGATTAATAGTAGTATTATTATTTTATTAAATAATAATAAAATATTTGAGCTTATAATAAAATATTAGCAAAATGTCTAATTTGGCCCCTTATAATAATTAAAAGTTTCAATTTGGTCCCACTTTATTTTTCAGTTTCAATTTAGTCTCACTTTATTTTTTGGTTTGAATTTAGTCCCAAATTATATTAAAATACATCAATGTGGGACTTCTATTTAAATTCCAGCGTTTTATGTTGACGACGTGGATGCCAGGTAAATGTATACGTGTTAGGTTTTCTTCTTCTTCTTAGTTTTTCTTCTTCTTCTTAGTTTTTGTTCTTCTCATCTTGCGATTTGTGTAATTTGAACTTTGTGGGTTAGGATTTCAATAGAAGATGATGTGAGAAGAGATTACGAGGGAGAATGTGAAGTTTAAAAATCACGGGATTGGTATTTATAGGAGAGATTTAGGATTTTTTCCGCCTTGGACGATTCACAGGTGTGATTTATAATCACACCCTCCATTCTCGGATCAAATCAGAATAAAGTACGAGCATAATTCTCGCGGCCCTAATGTCATTTTCTTGAGGTTCCCTTGACCGTGAGAATCACGACCGTGATCTGAAATCACGGTCGTGATTTCTCGCGGTCCTGTGTGTGTGTTTTTTTTTGCATTTAGCCTAAAACATTTGTTTTAATTATTTCATTATGCTTATTCTTATTCTTATAAAGATAAAAATAACAAAACCTATAATGGAAAATAATATTTTATGGTAATATATTATTTCATAATATTATAATAATATTATTTTTATAATTTTATAATAATTTGTGCGATTGGGTGTTATTGTGTAAAATAAAATTGAAAAAGACACGGCCTTGTATTATGTTAGTGAAAAAATTTATATATATATATATATATGTGTGTATATATATAATTATTTTGTTATGATAGTATATAATTGAATATTTAATTTTATTTAAAATATTTGCTTAAAATAAACAATATTATGTAGTTAAAATTCATATACCCTATATGCATAGAAACAATAATATATACATGATTTAATGAAAAAACTATTAAAATATTTGCTTAAAATAAACAACATATATTTTTTTTCTTTTGAAGCGAAGAACTAATATAGACTTTTCAAAATCTCAAAAATTAAAGTGTCTGCATTCAATTTTGAGTAATAATTTAAGAATTTACTTTATACGCAACACAATGTTTTGTCAAATTTTTATAGTTATGCATCTTAATCCGAAGAAAGCATACCCTCATTGTCAGTAGAAATGCAGATGAATTGGTTGTTTGAGTCCCCAAAATGAGATGAATTCCTCCTCAAGCAAATATCCAAAACAAACTGTAATTTGAATCATCTTCAATGTTCAGAATGTGTGATGGTTCAACTGAAAAGATAATGACATGATTCAGGAATCAAGTAGTTAAGAGGGTGCAATTGCAATCTCCTTGAAACTGAACAACTTTGTATGTGGGGATGCTAATTTAATCACAAATTTTTGAGCACATGGGTCAAAATTAATCCTTCCACCCAATGGTTTTCTAAGCACAGTATTTTCTTATAATACAGCTTCAAGTAGTTGTCAAGTACAGATATTTCAAACAGATGTAGGTGAACATATTCAATATTATGTAGAACAGGGTAGCACTGAAAAATAGATTCCGCAAAACTTGGTTACTGAGAGTTGAACCGGAAGGTCTCTTCAGATGCATACTTAGTCCTCATACTGTAATGGTCAAACTTTGGATTACTATGATCAACACCCCTTGTGTCAACAGGTTTAGACTCAGCTCCAACTCCCCCCATAAAAACTTCTCCACTCTTTTCGCGCTGCCTGTGTCTTGGCCTTTCTTTCTGGCTCTTAGATTTGGAGTATGGAGGAATCTCAGAAGATCCATAGAATTCAGCATACTCGGGTCGTTTCGAAGATCGGTGCTTGCTTGACAAAGAGGGGTCCTTGAAACTGCTTGATTTTATCTTTGGAGGCTTCATTTCTGAGTATTTCTCAGCAGTGCTTGGAGTGTGGACATGTGAAGCCATCCGGTTTTCACTAAGAGGAGCATGGACCTGCGGTGGCAGCCGAGTTTCGGTAAGAGGAGTATGTCCTTGAGCATTTTGCCTATTGACCAATGGAGGCTGCACTTCATCTTCAGGCATCATGAGACGATCTTTAAGCGGTGTTAGGCCTCTGTTGGAGTTGCCAGGTCTGAAATGTGAGGGAATGAATTGGGTGAAAGCACCGGCTAATGCTTCGAGGGAAAGCTTAGAAAGATCAATGATGAGCTGTCCGAAAGATGGCCATCCTGGTTCCTCTTTACTGCTCTCCAGGATTGGCATATGCTTCTCATTGCTTGCTGGTCCTTTATACTCTCTTTCTGATGGTCGCTGCAGCATTTGTGCAATGTAATCAGCCAATCAGCAAGGGTGAAATACTTTCTTAAAATGAACAGCATCATGTAATGATTAAAATATACATACTGATTTTGAGAAGAAAGAGGATCCAAATCCCTGCTGAAGCATACATGTAGCATATCCTACTATAACAGCACCAACAACTGTAAGGATATCTGCAGGAAAACACACAAAATGAACTAAAATCAGAAGCTCATCGGAGATATAGAGAATCTAAAGGCCTTAATAAAAGATTCAGTCACGTCGTCAGTTTTCACATTTACATATTCCCCACAACCACTGTTTCACTTCTTTGCTGAGTCGAGCAAATTCACATTTTCCAATGACACCAACATACACAAAAATTTGATGGACTAAAAACATTTATAGTACAATCTTCTAGTAAAAAATAAATGATAAATCAGATCCACCAAGAACAACTAGTGAAATTAAATAGTACTTATCTGATTGGCATTTTCCATTCCATTTATGGACCATACCAAGGGAGCTAAGATGCAGTGGCATCATTTAATGCATCTTCCTCACAACTCACAAGTCTAATCAATGAGGGTAAGAGATGTTCCCTTGAATTTGAAGATGGGATCATACCAAATAAGGCTACCATTTCATATGAAGATACAAAAAATAAAGCTACCAGCTACTCTCTCCACTCCCAGCTTAACTAAATATACCATGAGAGAGATGCAAGTAAAAAAATCTTAGCAGAAAATGTCCAGCAAATGATTTCATAGTAAGGGACAAACAGTGATGCAATCACCACAGTATTTACTTTTTTTCTTTCATCATATTTTTTTTATCAGCAGATCATAACTCATATTGGATGCCTTTATTCCTTCTTTCCTTGCTTTTTATTTTTTCCTATTTAAAGGTGACTTTCAAATCCAAAACCATAACATCTGCATCACATCTTACAAAGGCTACAATTGTTCCACAGTGAAGTATAAAGCATCCAAAACTTTCTTGTCTTGTCATTACATGCTTGGAAGGTAAAGGAAAAAGCAGCACTGTATTTTCATCTTGTATAAACTGAAATTATTATATTCAATGATATTAAGATATCAAACAGTAGCCTACAGTGACTTCTGAAGCTGATGATGGAAGAACTAGACAACAAGGAGACTAAGGTCAAACCAGAGAGTTCTAGAACCAACTAGAATCAGAATATCTAATTGATTGATTTTCATGAATAAATTGTACACAATATTTACATATTTACAGACAAGACCAACAGGATCAATCCCAAGGAAATCAGAATCACCTAAGGAAATAAACTAGCTAAGGAAACTATGCAATGTAGTAAATAATACAGGGATATTTACAGAATCTGAATGATATCAACTAAAATCAACCAGAAGATAAGAATAGAAACATGTACTAGAAATTGAATTAGACTGATAATCACAGTCTTCCTGGTCAAGAGAGATTTGTCGAAGAGCAGCATTTCCTCTATCAATGACCAACAAGGAACAGGTGGGCCGAACATATACCACATCAAAATCATTTGAGAATTTAGCATCCTCACTAGGCCCATCCCTGTAGCCTGCAGCACTTGACTTTCCTCCAGCAATGGTTGTCACACCTAAAAAAACAATCACAACGATCAGTAGCAAAATCCTTTTTCACCATTCTTGCTGAAAATTCTCCCTAACATTAGGATCCCATAACCACTGGCTGTATTGTTTGAATGAAGGGATTAACCATTATGCAATGGTATTAGACTGTGGGATTCTCATGACAAACAGCTCTAGCAGGTTTCCATTTAAATTCCTATTACATCTTAGGGTACTAGCAACACTTCTGATGAATTCCTATTAATAAATTTTGTTCAAATTCCATTTCAATATTGTCAGATACCTATACTCTGTGTTAGTCCAAACTAGATCTTAAATTCTTGTAAGTTGCAACTCAATTATCACATACCAGAATCTCCAATCTTTCTGATGGCCAGATTCTGAGTATCAGCAACATAAACATTCCCCTTATCATCCATGGTTATGCCTTTGGGATGATTGAAACGAGCATCACTTGGTTTTCCATCCACATGGCCTGTGTAGCCCTGAAACGACCCAGCCACCAATCTTCCTCTACTATCTGTATCCAGGTAACATAATATATAACAGAAAGAGTTAGGATTCTGTAATTGTAAGCCCAGCGAATGAAGAGCAAATCATTCAAATTTTCCAAAATTCTGTTTAACTTGTCATATAACTTTCACCTACTAATGCTGTTAAGAGAAACCCATGGACAATATACCATAAAGCTTAGGCTTAATTTTCTCCCTTTTCTTTCTTTCATCTCCTCCTTTTTCCTCATTTTTTGTTTTGAATAGAGAACTATTAATTCCCTGTTAACTTGAACCAGCCAAGAGGCTAAAACACAAATTCCTTTCTTTCTCATTTTTATCAACATTCTTGCCATTGGCCAGCAACATCCAGAACCAATTTGTATCAATTATGACCAAAATAGATATCTGATATTTCCATGAATGTAAGTCAAAACTGTGATATCCTAACAAATCAAATTTGCTTTTAACAGTCACAAAACTCAAGAGCAGAAAAGCAACCATACATTGGGACAGCGGCGGAGTAATCCGAACAATGTTGCTATTAATTGCATCAACAGCAAAGAGTTCACCATCCTCCTCAGACACACGGATCCTGTAAGGGACAACCCCAATCTCGTTTCCTTCCACAACAGTCTCAACCACGTAACCATTTTCAAATTGAAGAACATTCCCATCTGAAAAGAAAGAACCATCAAATCACATTCACACACACACAAACACAAACACCAAAACCACAAGAATTACACCATAAACACACATGACTCGGAAACTTCTCACTCTCAGCACAGAGAGAGCAATAACCTGAGTGCGGCGTCTTGGAGGTAGACCTTGTCCATCTGATGAGCGAAGACAGATGCTTAATCAACGGCCCTGATTCATTAACGTTGTTTAATTAAAGTCACACAAAAGTTAACATTGTTTAATTAAAGTAACCAAAAAGAAGAAGAAAGAAGCACTGAAAAAACACCCAGTTAGGTAATCAGCGAGCATAAGCTAAAAGATCGAAAATTTAGCATGCCCAAATAAAATCATGGAAAAGTGTCGTTGTGGAGGAAATGGGTTGCTTACCTGCGGGAGCAGCTTGAGGCTGAGAGTGGAGAGAGAAAGTGGGGGCGAGTGCAATGAGAGCGAATAAGAAGAGAAGGTGATTTCTCATAGCTGCTTGAGAAAGAAGAAGGAATGGAAAGTTTGAAAGTAGCTGGAGCAAGCAAGTGGAGTAGGTTCGTCTTCTTCTTCGAGTTACTTGTTCATCTTCTTGTTGTGGGCGCACACTCTCTCTCTCTTAGTGTAAAGTGGTTTTGGCAAATTTAACTTTGGTTTTTTGCATTTACGCGGAAAGTGAGATTTTCGAGGGAAGGTAAGGTGACGAAAGAAAGTGAAAAACGCTTTTGCCCACAGTCCACTTGCTTTGCTTACCTTCCATTCGTTCGTCGTTCTCCTCTTTTCTTTTTATTGTATTTTTTTTATTGTGTAATTTATTATTTAAACAGTTTATTTTTCTAGAATAAATCTCATTCTAAATTTTACCCTTATTAGATTTTACACATAACAACATTCACTTAGTGACTTCCTTGTTTCTTGGTTGGACTTTCATTGTTAAACAACTTAAAATGAATTAAATTTAAATACTAATTATAGTTAAGCGAAATTTTCTTATTAAACGACTCAAAATTTGTTCTATTACAAAGATTAACACTCCTTGAGTGACTCTTTGTTATTAAGCGAGACACTCAAGATTATCTTAGACACTACAATTTTTTGAGCAACCTATTATTGCCTAACAAATTAAAAATAATCTAATACACAAATTATAAAGGATTCAAAGCACAAGGTCAGAATTCACTAAGTAAATACTTTTCACTCATTTGAGATTCAATGTGTTCATCATGTTCATTAGTGAGACCATTATCACTTAATAAAAAGTTGATTTTTAGCATTTGAGCCTTCATCTTATGAAGACTTGTTGAGTAAAATATCATTGCATCTCTAACATGTAAGACCATTTAGGCCACCAAAATCTCTCAAAATCCATAACAAACACTTTATGCAACATCGATTCATTCTATTCATCATAAATCAACACATGCATCAAGATTTGGGTACCAAAACCAACATCTCAAAATTTTCCACCAAAACCCAACTCATGAACAACAACAAATCAAGCTACACAACTATCAATTCAACCAAAAACAACACCAACTATGTTCATATTATATATGAGCTACAATTAAGTTTTCTTGCCTCAATTGAGCTTTATAAGAAAACAAATCAAGGTAGAGGATAAACTCCCTCAACAACTCCAAAACTGAGCTCTCACAGCTTTGGTATTTAAAATATGAACTTCAATAATCTTTTCATAGCTATAAGAAGTCTCGGTCTTTAATTTGGTGAAGATACATGTCCTTAAGGACAATAAGAAGTCACAGAGGTTATCCTAAGGTTTTAAAGAGTTTTTTTTATAAAAATTTGAAAACTAAAACTTACGAAGTTTCCTTTTCAAATTTTCCTTATATACCTCAACCCTCATTTAGCAAGTTCTACTCACACTTAAGCTATATATCTATAACTTAAACCTATGGTTATCAAGACACTAACCCACACCCCACAACAGATAAAATAACACAAAACATCACACATAAATACATATATCACAAATATACATATTTATGAAAAGCACAGTGTTACATATAATAGTTTGTATCTAAACACATTAGGTTATTTATATTAAATGTAATATGCGATCCTCATATATTTTTTTTTACGTAATATTCATGTGGTGACATTAAAAAGCACACGTCTCATGAAGGCTCATAAGATAGCACAGGAGTACATGCTAGTAAATAGAGCCACCTAATCAAACGTGTCTGCCATTAAACATTGTCATTAGGGGAGAGATTCACCATTGCACATTGAGGTCACATAGTCACACTAGGTCCATCCATATTCATCATAAAGTGTGATTAATGTTCCCAAACTAAGCTCACCCTTGAGGTTCAAATCTACTAACCATTAAGGGACCTCCTTAATGCTGCATTCCACATTAATACTCGTCAAAAGCATAAGTTATACAAATGATACATGTCACAAGAAACACAATTTCAAACAATCTCAATTATTATTATTTCAAATGTCTACTATTAATTAATTGTTTTTACACGTCAACTAGTTAATCATCTTGTTTATACTTATCAACTAGTTAAGCATCTCTCTTGGACTTATCAATCTCAAATCATTATATCATGTTCTTAAGTTATTCAACTATTTTCACTAACTAATTATTCCAAAGTTCACTAATCCACCTCACTATCTCACATTTCATTCCTTTCCCCCTCAACAACCAAGTTCCAAAGATATTTTCTAACAACAGGAGACCAACATGACCATGTCGACCATTAGCATAGTCATACTAAGTAGAATGGGGGTGAGCACACTCAAATTGCCACCAAGCATGGTCATGCTTGACTTTTCACAACCCTACTTTATTTCCGAGCAGGGATATGCTACTCAAAAGCACACCTGTGTTCATAAACTAGTGTTTTTGCTTTGAAAAGGAGCATGCGGTGGGTAAGCATAGCACAACCATGTTACACACAATACTATTGTGCTTTCATTGAGCATAATCATGTTCTCCTCTAGCATGACCATGTTACACGTAACATGACCGTGCTTTTAGACCAACATCCCCATATAGTGCAAGCCCATGTCTAAGAGGTATATTGTTAGGTCTCAAACCAAGCAAATTAAGTATGATTTATTTAAGTTTTTCAAGATACAAATATCATAATATGTTATTCTATCATCACATGTTAAAATAAAATTATAATCATGAATCTCAATAACCCTAAACATACAACTCATAGCAAAAACAATAAACATTCATTCATACAATTCATTTCATAATAAAGATATACCAAGAATATGAATATAATTAATCTCATCAAGCACATATAGATACAATCCAACACACTTTTGGGGTTTTCAAAACTCCTCCAAGATCACACATTATAGAATTTATGAGGTTGGGGGAAAACTCCACTAGTCACAATTATTTCACATCCATTAGCGAGATAATTCATTACTCCCTTATATAGAAAAACTCTACAACTACAAGGGTGCAACAGTGAAATTTTCTCCTCCTTTAGCTTTAAGCTCTTTCACATGTGGTTCTGGCCGTAAAAGTGTTTCAATAGACAAATAAAAAACAAGAATATTAGGTCAAACTAAATAAACTTTCTTTTAATTAACAAAAGGTTATTGGGCTAATGAAGTCCAAAGCCCAATAACTTAAAATACTTTTATTTTCAAAAGTCATTCTATTCTATTTCAACTATTATTCAATGAAAATCTAAATAACTTAATTCTAATTTTTGAAAATAGTTAAAATAAAATTTATTTTTTTGGAAATAGAGTGTTACATTTTAATTGTCTTTGATGTTGCCAACTTTTATTATTATTATAATAAGTATATGATGTGAGACGTATTCTCATTTTTTGTTTATTTATTGTATTATTTTATTTAGATTGAACTTCATTTACAAGTAAGGGCAACCAAATATACATAATGTGGGCATTAAAAGCGAAAGTTAGACTTTTAGATTTCTTCTTCTTATACTTAGGCTTCAAAGTATACAAAATTTATAAATTTTATATCAAATGCAAATTTTTTAAAATATAAATTCTACAAGTAATTTTTATATTTAGCTAATTATGTAACTATTTTAATTTTTATTTTGTTATATTATACTAAAAATATCAACAAGTTGTTAGTTCAAATCGAACTAAACTTAATCTCCTTAAATAAAGTATCGAGTTCAATTTCGAAGAGGTCAACTATGTTTCTTGACCAAGATTAATAATTCACAATGTTGATAAATATTTATTTGTTAGTTCATGATTTTGTTATCAAATATAACAAATAATATATATATATATATATACCATATTAAATTATATTTTATTTAAAGATGTGATTTAGACATAGATGAATGTAATTATTTAGTACTTTAGTGACCATTAAACTAACATACTTTATTATTATACAATTGACTTAAACAATTTTTATAATATATTTTTTATTTAAAATTATATATTAATTTATGTGATTCGAGGATATTATAATTTAATTATTCTGTTATTATTATATTGACTATATTTTTTTTATAGATTTCTTTAAGGCATGTTATAAATTTTATTAAAATTCATAGATATAAAAATATATGACATAAATATTTTTAAAAAAATAAAAATTGGGTCATGTGATTCAGTTAGTGATTCACTGGTTTGACCTTTGATCCATTTACTCAGTACCTTAACTGGTTTGATGATTGGTCAAATTTTTAAAACATTGATTTTAAGAGCTCGAGATGCTCTATAGGATAACTTTTAACCACATATCGGAACAAGTGACTTTTCATTTTAGTATTTTGATTAGTTGGATTGGGTCAACTTTGTTTAGTCCATATAAAGGATTCCTTAACGGAAATAACTAATTTTTGGGTCAATGACAATTGGGACTTATCATCCTTGAGAAGGAATCTATGTGAGCATATCATCCAACAAATCCTTGGAGTGACTATTCTTGCAAATCCTTTTGGTAATGATGTCATTTGTTAAAAGGGAGATTATTTAGACATTTTTTTTTGTTGGTTCAACATACTCTTAGCTTTTGAAGTTCCATGATACTCTCAAAGACCTTATATGATGAAGAATGTGAAAGATTCCACTTTTGGTACATTCGCCTAAATGCTCTCCCAACGAACTACAGTAGGCATAGGTGTCACCTTACGACTAGTAACTTATGCTCAAATTATTTGTACTAGGTTGAACAACCTTGCACGTCCTGAGGGACTACCCTCATGACCACGAGATTTGGATATAAATGAGAGTTGATACTAAGAGGTATGATATTTTGTGCCTTTGTAAATTTTGTTTAAAAATAATATAAAATATAAATATAAATAATATAAATTACTATATGTCAATTGAGATGATATATAATTAGAAAATCATAAAATAATCTTAAATAAATAGCGATTAAAGGTGATTACAAAATAAGTAAATGGTTATTGTTGATAGAGTGAACAATTATTTTTTTTCCTATTTTATCCTTAATAAATATGACAATGGAAAAAAAAAGATTAACATATAATAAAAGAATATAAATATATTAAAAAATATAAAAATTAAATAAAAATATCCTTTTATATATAATATAGTTTAACATCCACAATTGTCAATCAAGTGGACATCCTTCACGAGCAATGATGAAAATAATAAAAAAAACATTTGAATAATACTTTTAAAAAATAATTAAAAAAAAGAAGATAAAATACAA